TTGTTATATTTCATTACATTTCTCCCCGCCCAACCCTCCAGCCTGTCTAGGTCTCGCTGGGTGGCAGCACAGCCTTCAGGCGTGTCAGCCACTCCTCCCAGTTTTGTGTCATCAGCAAGCTTGCTAACAGTGCTCTCTACTCCCTCATCCAACTCACTGATGAATATATTGAATAGCACTGGTCCCAGTACTGACCCTTGAGGGACTCCACTAGATACAGGCCTCCAACTAGACTCACTCTGTCCCACTGACCACAACTCTCTGGCTTCTTTCCTTCAGCCAGTTCACAGTCCACCTCACAACTCAATTGTCCAGATCACGTTTCCTCAGTTTAGCTACGAGGATTCTGTGGGAGAAGTGTCAAATGCTCTACTAAAAGGCCAAATCCACTGCTCTACCATCATCTATCCACCTGATTACATCTTCATAAAAAGCTATCAGGTTGGTCAAGCATGACTTCCTCTTGGTGAAGCCATGTTGTCTGCCCCTATTGACCCACTCATCCTTGATATGCCTGGAGGTGACGCTGATCAGTCCATAATTACCCAAGTCCTCCTTCTTGCCCTTTTTGAAGACCGGAGTGACATTTGTTTTCCTCCAGTCTTCAGGCACCTCTCTCGTTCCCCACAACTTACCAAATAGAGTGGCCCAGCAATGACTTCCACCAGCTCCCTGAGCACCCACAGTGCATCCCATCAGGACCCATGGATTTATGGATATCCAGATTGTTTAATTGCTCCTTAACCCAGTCCGCATCAACTGAGGCAAACTCCTCCTTGATCCTGACTTCCTCTGGGGCCTCAGGGGGTACAGGACTCCTCAGGACAGCCTCCAATAGCATAGGCAGAGAAAGAGAAGGCATTCAGTAACACCACCTTCTCTGTATCTTCTGTCACCGGAGCAGTTGTGAGAGTGTATGCGCACGCCTGCATGCATGCACATGTGCACACCTGTTTGTGTGAGTGCTTGTGCCCAGTGGCAGCAAGGCTCAGACTAGCTCCTAGTTCCTCAGGGCCATTCAGCCCCTAAATGCCAGCATATATGCCATCCAGAAACAGGCTTCTGGAAAGAATCATAGAATCAACACGGTTGGAAAAGACCCACAAAATCACCCAGTCCAACCACCCACCCATCACCAATAGCTCTCACTAAACCATACCCCTCAATATGATGTCCAAACGTTCCTTGAACACCTCCAGGGTCAGGGACTCCACTGGGCAGCCCATTCCATTACCTGACCACTCTTTCAGAGAAGTAGTATTTCCTAACATCCAGCCTGAATCTTCCCTGGCACAGCTTGA